TAGTGTCATTAAATGTGTGTTTGATTTGAAAACAAGAACACATGCAAGAGAAAAATTATTAACATACCTGCTAAGTCAAAACAGTTTTCCAACTTCAGTGGCAAAAAAAAATGATTTTGTATAATTCATGCAAATAACAGGTGACCCAGAAAAACAGGCAGAGAAACAGCAAATGAAATGCGTTGATAATTAAAAAGGCTCAGAAATGGGATAGTGTTGAGGCATCCTGAACTCCAAATGTTATGATTAACATTACCATAAAAAGAGGCCACTGGGTGCAAGGCAAATGTCTTCCCTCTGACAGATTTATTAGAGAGCATGCACTCAGTATGAAAGTGAGAAGATGCTTTTATTTATTTTCAGTGATTTACAACTTGGCAACTATCTTTTTAATACAGCCTGCAAGACATTTCTTTAGTATTAGCAGTGATGGATTCATGGCGAGACTGTAGACAGTGCTGAAATACAAATCTAACATTAATTTTCATGTGTACAGAAGGTCGTCAGGAAAGAAAACAGTGGGTGGAAGGCGATATCATATTCTTTGTGGATTTTGTAACTAGCCCAGGGAGAGATATGTGTGAACAGAAAAGGCTGAGAGCAAATGGTTCAAATAGGAACTGGAGAAAGCTTCACTACACATAAAGCTGTTTTAACCATTGGCCCCAGGTAAGAAGAGTTACATGGATTTCAAACACATAAACACAATCAGGTTCACTATAAGGTTATATTCTTTGTTTGTTCTTTGTTTGTGCATCGCAAAGTAGAGGGATGCCACATGCTATGTTCAGTCACGGGTATATTTATAATTAAATTAAAGGAAAATCAACAACTTAAATCTCACAACTGCCACTTTTAATAGAATACATAAAAAAAAAGCATAAATACGAAGCGAATACCAAACACAAAACACCTATAGAACAACATACACTCCACACACAATGGTGATAAACTACTGCTCTAGCCACAGCTGCCCTGGGGCACAAAGATAGAAGTGAGGCAACCAGTATGTGCCTTCGTCACCTCCGACCACCACCAACCATTCACACACACACCAGACTCATTCTAGGCAATGTGGATGAAGTTTCTAAGGACACGGTGACAGTTCGGCACTTTACAGCCGCAGCCGTCCCACTATGGTGTTCCCTCAGGTCTTCCATCACAGTACTAACTAGGCCCTGTCCCGCTTAGCTTTAGAGGTCAGAGGGGATCTGGCAATCACATGCAGGTATATAAATGCATCGGCATATTGCAGCACTTTTGGTCTTGATTTTAATTATGAAATAGAAGAGATGCCTGTTGTTTGGAAAGTGAAATTATTGCTTCTATACTAGACAAAAGGTCATTGAGTGTTCCTTTCACAAATATATATATATATTTAAAAAAATACTCAAATCAAGAAACATCACAAGGGATTTCTTTGCACTGCTAATACCTTAGTAGTGAACTATTTATGAAACTTTGGGCCTGAAGGTCACAGGTTCGATCCCCCCACAAGACTTACTCCTACTGCTCCCACCTCACGTCTGCTGTTATTGTGTCCTTGGGCAAGACAAGTTGGCCGAAAATTTCTGTAAATGCACCAGAATTAGCCAATAAACGCCAGATTTAAACAACTGCAAAATGATGAATATTTCATAACATCTGCATACACAAACTACCCTTGCAAACCCTACACATGTGAAGAAGGCTACAGTAACACAACAATAGCATCAAAGCCCATACAACAGACAACAGTGGTATATCCAGTCGTTCATGTCGTCCTTTGTATCCCCGTGCGCATAAATGTCAAACAAATAGAGGTGCTTCAACACTTCCTCTTTCAGGATTATGCCAAAGCCTCTCCAAATATCTAAATGTCAACCGCGCATAAACACTTTGCAATTACAGGCAGACAGAGCAGCAGCTGGGAGGCGGGGTCACTGTGGCTTTGACAATTCCCACTGGGCCTCAGCACACACGCCATTCAAGCATGACAGCATGGACATATCCGGCCACTCAACGATGCATAATTCAATATCAAATTTGTCTCTTTGCAATTAGTTTTGGCTAATGTTGTAATCGTGTGTCGATGATGTTGCGGTGTCATCACTTCTGCTGCTTTTGGCTCACGCAACGGTTAGGCGTGCAACAGGCACACCCGAACAAATCTGACCGGTCGCTAATTGCCCCCTCAGGACATGAAACCAATCAGAACTGGGCGTGTGGAACGTCTACCGCCCAACCGAGAGCTATCCCGCCTGCCTGCTGCCGTCCTGCTGCGCGCACTTCCGCAAAAAATTGAGGCAAATCATGAGGAGATGCTTTCTAACAGCGCGACGGGTGTTAAAAAGAAAAAAAGCAGAATATTTAGGAGGTCAGTGCGATCAGAGTGTCCGCTGTTGGGGTGTCTCCAGGCGGAATACAGATGAGGCCTTTTTTAGTTGTTTCCACTCGCTAATTGCGGCGTGCATTTGCATAAATAGCAAGCTTGATTCCCCTAGACTGGGAGAGCGAAATCCCGGCCTAATTATTAAAGCCACATGCAGCGACAGAGGCGGCATGTACTCCCCGCAGTCTGGTTAACACTAGAGCGGGCTGCGCTTCATATTCCGTACATCTATGTGTGACAAGATCCATCTGAAATGTGACTTTCAAGTGACATTAAAAAGAATTTCGCCTACAAGATTGTCTATAGATTACATGTCCTACTCAGCGATTCGATCTCCTCCTCGTTGCCAACACTAGCAAAAAGATTAAACTGAAGAAATCTCCCAGTAGCTACACAGTTGATAGTGTATTCTTTGTCATTTTTCCATGTTTGGTAGACTTGGAAACAGCACAGTCCTGTTTCATACTCAAGTGCAACTGTATACTCCCTTTATATTCCCACATTTTTTAAGTTATAGTGCTCTAAGCGCCAACAATCTGCCATGTTTTTATGTTGTATTGTGCTTTAAAGACTTGGCAGTGGAGGTATACTGAGATATAAACTATTCTGCAGTAAGTGAGATTGAAGATCGCGTTGCAGAGAACAACACAGAGTAGACGAGAAGAACATTGATAATCAGCGTTTTGTCACGTCTGATGAGAGTCGATATATTTCAGGGGAGTTAGAAGACCAACAAATACAGAAATTCAGGCTTTAAGCAGGTTCCCAGTGCACATCCAGGCTCAGGTCTCTCTCCTCAGATGGCTTAAGGCGCTGGCCCTGAGCCAGATCAGATATGTGAGCGAGTGTTCCTCTGCGTTCTGCTAAAGACATGCTCAGAGTACAAATTAGCCACTATATTCCCAAACCAGCCCAGCCCTCAACCCTTTGTCAGAATGATGGCTGATCTGCCAAGCGTTGGAAGCAATAATAAGGCTGACTACAGCTGCATTCTGGGTAATAAACAAGAGCTCAACAATAGAACAAGCTTCGGTGTGTTATTGTTGTCATGTAACTGGATTCAAGTGTTTGGTATGCACACTCTTCCTTTTGAAACACAACATCAACCGAGCATAAGCAGTGAAGATATCTTCACTCAGTCATGAAAAGCATCTGTAAGATTAGTGCATTTGTCATTTATTATCATTAAAGGCCTAATCGTTGCCATTACGTTGATTGATCAATTAATCCATTCATTCGCATTTGGCATTTTACTAACTCAAACAGTAGCTAAACATTAACCTGGACCTCCCATTAAGCACCATGCCCAGAGACAGCAAAACCAGTCAGTCAGAAGGTGGTAGGAGGAAACCTGAAGAGATTAAGTTTACGATTAAGATATCCATTATTTGTCCCACCGTGGGGAAGTGTCAGTGTTGCATAACCAGGTACAGAAGAGTAACAAGAAAAATGAACAATAACTCTTTACGAAAATAATATACAAATGTGTATCTCTAGTGTGAAGAAGAAACAAGTATACAATCTCATTCTTTAGCATAATGAGTACAAAAAACTCTGACTTTAGCATAATATAGAAGAATCAAATCTCTACCTTTGGCATAATGAGAAGCAAGTATTGTGTATTCTAGTGCAAGGAAGGAGGGTAAGAACAGTGATGACCCAACATTTATGGATATTTATGAACACTTTATGGTCATCCCGCTCCCTATGAACGAATAGGGTCCTATGAGTTTATTATTTTCTGCGTTAAAACTGTTTGCACTGATCAGATGTTTTTCTTCCAAACCTGCAGAACACAAATTCCCATAAAATCAAACTAATACTCATTTCAAAAGGGGTTGGATGAAGCAGACACTTATTTTTTCCCAACACAATCTCATTCATTCAACTAAATAATACACAGAATACACAGAATACAATGCAATGGATCAACATACAGAATACAAATATGATACAGTGCAGTACATACAGTAATAAACCATACCCTACCATTGGTTATTCATTTCTCTGATGTGTTGTTGGCAAATTGACAACTTGTAACCACCTGTGAGCAGTAATCCTCTTTTTGTTGTATCGAGAGGTGAGCAATACACTGAAATCACGCCAGATTATGTTTTTTTTTCATTACTAATATTTTGTTTCTTTTCCTATTCCGGGAGTAGAAAAAATCCCTTTGTTCCCAGTAAGATATTCTTTTAGTGGTGTAATAGATGGATCCTCATGACGGCTGCAAAAGTAGTAAAAATCCCTTTCCCACCCCTGCTGCAGATAAGAGCTGCATTTTGTTCCTGTTTGGGGCATAGCAATCAATCTACAAAGAATACCTCGTCTCCAACCGGGACATCTCCTGTATCCTCCACCTCTTTACCATTTATCTCTTTAATATCCTGAAGTCCTCTGATGAGCCCAGGGAAGGGGGTGCTGTCCTCCGGTTTAACTCCAAGCCAATGGGCCCATTTACCACAGGACGACCCAAATGTGCTGATAGAGGGCAGATAAGGCGTAGAGGACATGCCAGCTGGCTTTATTGAACCATTTATGTGATTGTATACAGTAAATGGATATACTGTACCATTGTTTATTTCCAATCTGAGCCATTGCGGCAATAGAATAAAACGCACAAGGAGTTATGGTCAGCTTCAGGACAGGGACTCCATTTCCCGATAAGGCTCAATCTGTCCCGCCGGACTACAGGCTGTCAGATAAGGGCAGACAGCTATCGGTCCACACTGTGAGGGTGGTCAGCCTGAAAGCGAGCACAGGAGTGGTGTGGGGGGGAGGTGGTGATCTGTACGACAGAAGCATGCTTATCACACCTGCTCTGATGTCTCTACCAATGCACAGCGATAAGGAACGCAAGGGAAGGAGATGGAAGAAGAGATTTCCGACTTACTAAAAGATGAGGTTTGATAGATATGTATGTACAATCAATATGAAGTGAAAACGTAATATTTATAATACTTAGCATGGGGAAGTGTTTATTAGTAGAACCGAGGGAAATTTGGCAAATCAAAACATATTATTGCCCCAAAAGAGGGCAATACTCTTACCCTTTTCTTGCACACTGAGACGCTGGCGGTAATGATAATAATACATAGTTTTCTGGACACTAAAAGATGCTTTACTTCACATGGTATTATTCTTTCACTCCATACATTGTGGTTATAGGCTACTACTAATGATAGTAGTGAAGCAACCAGTATGTGTCTCTCTAGTGTGTGTGAATGGTTAGTGGTGGTCAAACTAAAGTGTCAAAGTGAAGTCTCTTGCCACAACAAGAGTTTGGCACTTAGCTGCAGGCACCCACTGTGGCACATGGTGTTCTCCAGGGTCTCCCATCATAGTACTGACCAGGCCCTGCTCTGCTCAGCTTCAGAGGCCTGACAATGTCTGGCTTTAACATGCAGGTGGACCACGATAACATGTCAAAGATTTTTTGCCGAGGCGGAGCCAAAATTGCAGTATTAAGACAGCAACAAACCCTAAATGTGGATCAAATAAAAGAAGAAGGTCCTTTATTCGTCCTACAATGGGGAAATTTCAGTTTGATGCATACACATACACATGATATACACATCAAGGCACGTTGCTTATTGGCAAAGTGGGTCAAGTGTCTTGCCCAAGGACACAATGACAGCAGACATCAGTGGAGTTGGTGCAGAAGGACTCGAGGTGGGCTCGAACCCACGATCTTCAGGCTCAAAGGCCAATGCTCTACCAACTGAGCCACCGTCGGCCCTAAAATCAGCCACACACGTGGCTTGACGACTGGTGTGTACTTTCTGAAGCTGTGCGGGGCAGGGCCTGGTTAGTACTGTGAAGGGAGACATCTGGGAACACCAAGTGCCTGTAAAGTCACACGGCTGTGGCTGTAAAGTCACACGAATCTCATGAGGGACCAAACTTTGAATTATGACAGCATAACAAGCCGAGTAACAAGAGCTTAAAGTGGTTCTCAGCCCCGCTCCTCGGAGCTTACGTCACTCACATTTCCTGTTCAAATCTTCCTCTAAATGGGCGTAGCCTGGAGGACTAAAGGGGGCGTGCACGAGACTGGGCCGTTCACATAGCTCTGGGCGGGGGGCTGCTGACGTCAGGTCTTGCTTCAGACGTCAGGTCTTGCTGCCGCGCTAGTGTTGGCGCCAGATTCAAAATTCAAATGTAGTAATACAGGTCGCCAGCAGATGGCGCCTCACAGACGGTTTTAGGCAGAAAGTTTAACTTTCAACTAATTTGCACCAAAGTGACAAAAATATGACCAGGATATGTAGACAACACTATTGGACACTCATTTATACCGTTTATCAGCAAAAAAAAGTGGATTTGAGGGTGAGTTGTCCTTTAAGCCATCTGAGGAGAGAGGACTGATGAATGATGCTGTTGCTGAGATTTTCTATAGACAACAAAAATCTTCATAAGAAATTGATTGCTTTATAGAAAAAGGTGTAAAATGTATCTGAATGAAAAAGATGTTGTCTAAACAAACTGATAAAGCTGGGTTACCTGACTTCTTCCATTAATCATGCACTCTTGTTCCAACAGAAAGTCTTGTAACAGCCTGAAAATCTGAAAATGCTGAGCTAAAGATGTGAAAGAGGCCAAAACTAGTGATAGAAACACATTTTTTTGAGAGCAAGGAAGAAGTATTATTGTGGGCAGGTATCTCGGCTTTAAACAGCAATAGAACTGTAAAAGATATGTAAATATATTAGGATGTATATTAGGCATAGGCACCAACAACCTCTTTTATATTTGTAATGGGTCCTTCTTCAAAAACAAAACTGCATGATTCATTTTGTTTAGCTAGCGTTGAATAATAAATTAAGGCTCCACCCTCTCCTCATTACCTTTGAGGCCGCTGTGGATAATAAAAAGGGCATATAGCATTCAAGTCTCTGCATATTCAATTTTCCATAAGTCTGACCTTGGAGCCACTGACCTCAGGCTTGTAAACAGAAGGCAATTTGGAGGCTGCTCTTAAAACGAAAAGCAAATTAGTAGTAAAAAGGTACATGGTAATGGAGGTGTGTCGTGAGCTGAGCTAATTGGAAGCACTTTTATAAGCAGGGTTTATGCATTCATGTTGCATATACTCAAAGAAGGGCACTCGCTGAGGAAAGCATAAAAGATTAACAGACAATGAGTAAATATAGACACTAATTGTACTTTGGATGAAGAGCCAATATGGAGTGCTATACATACATCCTACCAAGTGCACGATTCAAGTCGTTCAAAAGGCTTAGTGCATCCTTTGCTATTAAGTTAATTGAGTTTCTACAGAACTAGATTGTTTTACTTCCTTAAATGCCTGCCTTAAAGCTGCAGTATCAAACTTTCCACCAGCAAAAATGCTCTGAAAGGAGTATGGTTTTATCACTTGTTTTCACACGTCTGTATATTACGCCTCTGTCCCATTTTAGATCAGATTTTTAGGCAGAAAAATTAAAACGAGAGAACCACCCCCACTCAGGCCAAAAGCATCAAATAATGTCTCACAGGGCATTGTTCTTACAAGAATGGAAATGTTTTGTTTTCTCTTTTCATGAAGATAGAAGGTGTTTTTTTCATTTTCCCCATTGTGGGACTAGCAAGCAAGCAAGCAAAGTTTATTTATATAGCACCTTTCTCAGACAGAAGGTCACAAAGTGCTTCACATCAAAAACAAGCAATAATTAAAAACACAAGAAAAAATTACACAATCAAACAACAGTGGAGACAGTCATATCAGCCCATAAAACCGTACTTTCAAAACGCTCGACTGAACAAGAACGTCTTGAGTTGGGATTTAAATGTATCAACAGAGTCAAGTGATCGTAGAGAGAGCGGGAGATCGTTCCAGAGTCTAGGTGCGACAGCCTGGAAGGATCGGTCTCCTCTGGTTCGATAACGAGTGCGAGGAACCATCAAGAGATTTTTATCTGCAGACCTCAGAGAACGAGAGGGGACATAGGGCTGAATCAGATCTCTGATGTAAGAAGGCGTCTGACCATATAAGGATCTAAAAGTCAGCACCAAGATTTTAAATTGAAACCGGTAAGACACCGGCAGCCAGTGGAGGGCTTTAAGAATTGGGGTAATATGAGCCCTTGCACTATTAGTGCAAGTTAAAATCCTTGCTGCAGAGTTTTGAACCATTTGGAGACGAGACAGCTCTTTTTTGTTTAGACACGAAAATATAGAGACTATAAAGGGTTCATTCGTTCATTTTGCAAGACTTATTCTGTTTTGACAAAAACATATATGAATCATTTATGAAAAAATTTAGGTACTTTAGCTTTAAATGCACTTAGTAGCATTTACTTGTTTAGGTTAAATAAAGTGTGTATATATATATATATATATATATATATATTACTGTACTAACCAGGAGACTACAGTGTAGTTTTGCATATAAGTAACATTCTTATGAAGATGAGGACCAAATTAGGAATAAAAATGTACAAATGTAGATTAGGACAGCGCTGACACAACAATCTTTATGTCTTAAATCATATTTTTGTAGCCGCTTTTGCACAGAGCTGACGTACTGATTAAGATCTACTCCAACTTTTTTCTCTTTTTACATCAAGTCAGAAGGTGTTTACGAGGTAAGATTTACAGCTGCATGTACTATAACCCAGGTGCTATCTCCACACACTGCACAGCCCATTCCATCCAGTTTGTAATTGTTTAAAAAGTAATTTACAGATATGATCAACAGTTGGCTTGTGTCCAGACCGCGGGCCTATCAGTCCTTTGGTCCAAATGTCAAACAGGACGTTCTGAGTTCCTCTTGGACCCCCCGCCAGTGCCACGCCGTAAAAACCATTACATTCAATTTGCCTTTGTAAACGATCCACTGGCGCTATGGCTCCCATTCAAGGTTGCCTGGGTTTTAATTACCGTTAATTGCGATTTGCATAAAGCTTTTTAGGAAATGGCTCCAGAAGCGGCTGTAATGATTAAACATGTAAATGAGTGGTAAGCTGATAACGCCTTGTGTGTATAGGGCTGCTCAAAGAAGAAGCATCTGATAAGCGGAAATTAAAAGAGCAAAAAGGACTGGGATCGGGTTCAGAAGCTATATGCAAGAATGTTGATAGAAGGCAATTGTATGTTAAACAAGAACACAGTCTGAGCAAATTGGATAATAATGTCATTTCAGATAACATAAGAAACCATGAGAAGGGTGTTAGTGTTCGTGTATGAATGACCATTGCCAATATCATGGTTAAGTAGTATTCCTGGCAGAGTATAGGTTGCGTTTGTGATGTAGAATGATTTTTCAGTTGGAGGGTAGGTGCCAATTCAACTCTATGGGATAGCTTTGCAATTTTAAAAAATATAAATCTTCATAAAATGATAGAGACCTGATTCACAAACTTGCCATATGATTTAAATGTTTGGAAGTCCTCTCTAATGGGCAACATCATGCTCATGTTTTTTTTTTTATTTCTTCACTTCTAGAGACTGTTATGATTAAATAATTAGGGTGTCGTTGATATGTGCTGACGAAAAGATATGGACCTTTGTGACAGTTTCATGAGGATTGTCTCAGGAATTACAGAGAATATAGCCTCTAAAAATCTAACTTTATCCCGCAATTACCATGGCTACCAGGAAAGCTGCCCGCCAACACAGTTTCAGGCAAGGTAAGGCATGTTTATTTTTATAGCACAACTCAAAGTGCTTAACAAAACCAGATAGAAACAATACAATGCATTCACATCATAAATAATTACAGTACATTAAAAAGAGTGAAGATAAAATCCCTAATTTCTATGCACAGCCAAACAGAACTGTTTTAAACCTGGATCTAAATATTATCAGAGTAAAAGAATATAGCAGAGAATTACAGAGAATATAGCTGCTACTTTTTCCCGCAATCACGATAGTTACCAGAAAAGCCCCCCTCTA